CAAAAGGAAGAGACAAAACAAACAAACAAACAAACAAATAAACCAAAACCCCAAAATATGACCCAAATGAAAGAACAGGTAAAAACTCCAGAAGGAGAACTAAACAAAATGGAGATAAACAATCTACCACATTCAGAGTTCAAAACATTGGTTATAATATTGGCTGCTCAAGGAACTTAGTGAGGACCTCAGTAGCATAAAAAAGATCCAGTCAGAAACGAAGGATTCACTAATTGAAATAAAGAACAATTTACAGGGATGCCCTGGCTGGTGTGGCTCAGTGGATTGAGCTCCGGCCTGTGCACTAAAGGGTCGCTGGTTTGCTTCCAAGTCAAGACACATGCCTGGGTTGAGGGCCAGGTCCCCAGTAGGGAGCACATGAGAGGCAACCACACAAGGATGTTTCCCTCCCTCTCTTTCTCCCTTTCCCTCTCTCTAAAAATAAAATAAATAAAAACTTTTTTAAAAAAGAACAATTTACAGGGAAATAACAGTAGAGTGGGTGAAGCTGGGAATCAGATCAATGATTTGGAACATAAGGAACCACAAAACAACTAATGAGAACAAGAAAAAAAAATCCAAAACAACTAATCAGAACAAGAAAAAAAAAATCTAATTAAGCAGCCTCTGGGACAATTCAAGTGTTCCAACATTGACATAATAGGGATAACCAAAGGAGAAGAGAAAGAGCAAGAAACTGGAAATCTCTTTGAAAAAAATGAGAGAAAACTTCCCTAATTTGGTGAAGGAAATAGGCATGTAAATCCAGGAAGCACAGAGTCCCAAACAGGATGGATGCAGACACCCACTCCAAGACACATCATAATTAAAAGACCAAAGGTTAAAGATAAAGAGAGACTTTTAAAAGCAGCAAGAGAAAAGCAGTTAGTTACTTACAGGGGAGTTCCCATAAGACTATCAGCTGATTTCTCAGAAGAAACTTTGCGGGTTAGAAGGGGTTGGCAAAATCATGAAAAGCAGGGACCTATAGCCAAGATTGCTCTACCCAGCAAAGATATAATTTAGAATTGAAGGTCAGATGAAGAGCTTCCCAGACAAGAAAAAACTAAAGGAGTTCATCATCACCAAACCATTATTATATGAAATGTTAAAGGGACTTAGTTAAGAGAAAAAGATCAAAATTATGAACATTAAAATTGCAATAAATATATATCTGCCAATAATTGAATCTAAAAGACAAACTAAGCAAACAAGTAGAACAGAGATAGAATCATGGATACAGAGTGTTTTGATGGTTGCCAGATGGGAGGGGGTTGGAGGGGAACAGGTGAAGAGGTGAGAGTATTAAGGAGTACAAATCGGTGGTTACAGAATAGTCATGGGGATGTAACACACAGTTACATCCAGGGGGAGTAGGGGTGCTGGATGGAGGGCAGCAAAGGGAAAAAAATGGGAGAACTGTAATAGCATAATTGATAAAATACAATTTAAAAAAAGATTCTCCTCACATGGTCAGAAACCAGCTTAAATGGCCCTTTAAGTATTCTTTAAAATTTTTAAAAAATTAATTATTTTTTAGAGATAGCAGAAGGCAGGGAGAGAGAGAAACATCAATCGGTTGCCTCTCCCACGTGCCCCAACCTGGGACCAAATCCACAATTTAGGCATGTGCCCTGACTAGGAATCCCCAGCTAGGAATCAAACTGGCCAACTTTCGCTTTACGGGATGATGCCTGATCAACTGCACCACACTGGTCAGGGCTCTTTAAGCATTCTGAAAGAGGCACCCTTCCTTTGGACTCAAAGGAAGGCAGTTACTGAGTTCACTTTACTGAACCAGAGTGAGACCTTAGGGCACTGTTTTGGCTCCATCAAGTAATTAACTGTGCATCATTAAGTAAGTCATTCCCTCATTTGAAATTCAGATCTTCCCAGCCTAAGAGTGAGTTGAGTTATATGCCCTTACAATGTTGTTTTTTTTGGGAAGGGTTCTGGGGTCCCAGTGGGGTGTGTGTGTGTGTTCTTGAGCCCAAGGGAAAGATGATGGTTACATTGAAGAGATGTTTCAAAGCTATCATTTCCCCCTAGAAAAAGAATCCACTTTAAGTTTTCTAATCACTTCCCATGTGTCACATTCTCCCTCATACATCTGCAATTGGTTTTTGTGCCTGAAGGGCTTAAAACCACCTTTTAATTTTTGTCAGTTTGAGAATCAACTTATTTTAGATGTTGGATGCTGAAAGAAAAATCTCTAATAGCTTCACCACAAAGACTTCTTTTATTCTGACTGAGAAAATGGATCTATTTTGTCAAATGAGATTAAATTTTCAATATATAATAGTATGTGTAAATGTTTATATATTTTAACATATTAAAAGTATCTTAAGCTTACCATTAATTAGTCTTGAGAAGAAAAAGTTGAACACAAGTGCAATTAATTTATTATCTTAATATTAGTAAGATGAACAAACAGTTTCCATGCAAAAGACAGTTTTCATTAAACAAACAAGATAATTTCAGAATGAAGGGGTAACATGTGCACAGAGTAGTGGTTCTCTGCTTATTTGCATTCATGAATACTCTCCTGGGCTTGTAAGCTTGAAGGATGTAACCAAGACAAGGCTGGTGCTGGTTTGAGTTGATACTGTTCTAAAAATGCCCTCAACAAGTTCCTTTTCTGTTTCAGTGTTGAACTGTTAGATAGCTATTATTTCATTTATATCTAAATATACTGATTTATATTAAAGGTTAGTGGACAAAATGCTCAAACACTGTTTGAGCATAAGATTGCATAAGTTGTTTTAACATAAATGTGGAAATTTTGCAACAGTCATTTAAAAAAAATCAATTTGAACTTGCTTTGAGGAGAGGTTCAATGTCTAGCCCTACCAGTTACTGACTATGGGGACATAGAGCAGTAATTATTGCCTTTCAGAGCCTGTTTCCTTATTTGTAAATGAGGATGGCAATTCCAACTTCATAGGTTAATTGAATGAATCAAAAGAGATGTTGTACATAAATATATGTATGAATATGCTTGATAATCTATAAACTAATATTTAAACAGCTGTTATATGAAGTTGAACAATTTTTTCTGACATTTCTTCATTTTGATAGTAATATACCTGTGCTATTGAGCCTAAAAATGATTCCATATGTTAATTACTTTATTTGATAATGACATAGCACTTTTATTTTCTGTAAAATCAGAAATACACACTGATATCTACAAAAATTGTTTCAGTTACATTTAAATGAAGAGAGAATCATACATTTCAGGATCAAAAGGAAAAAGGGTATGAATTCTGTTAACAGACACAATTGGTACACAGTCTGCTATAAAGAATCTACTTATTAGAAGAGGCAGGAAGGAGGTAATAAATACAAATACTATTATTGTTATATTTTTTAAAATGCAGATAACCACAAATAGTTATTTGCTTGACTTTAAAATGCAGTGTGTAATTTTGTGAAATCAGAATGTAAAACCATTTGGTTTTGGCTAAACTTGAAGGTATGTGCTAAGTGGTGATGGAAGAAAATGTTGATTGAAACCTCACTGTTTAGTAAACAAAAATAATTTTAAAAACATATATACAAACAACTAAATAACCCTTTCTCTATAGAAAAATAAAAGTTTTCCAAATGCAAATGAGCCAATCCCAAACCAGGTACCATTTGTATAGTCAGTCTCTGCTTCAAAATGAACCAGAAAGAAATTAGGAAAAACACACACAATAACCACATATGTATAATAATACAACAGATTATGCAGCCTTGGGGTGCCTAACATGCAGGGAAGGTTTTCAACACTTCTAGGACCATGGGGATGCTGAAAGCCTGGGCACCACTGAGACTCTGAGGTTGACTCTTCCAGATTATAACCCAGAACAAGAATTGCTTTATTGCCCCAGTGTAGATGGGCTACACTGGGAAGAGTTCAGGGTACTCAGGTCCAAACAGGAATGAAAAAGTGGGGGTGTATCTCCATAATAAGCCGCAGTGGATGGCTTATTGTCCAGACACACCATTCAATATCATTAATCCATTCTTATTACTCATAGAGTTGAAAAGCACTTTCCAAGTAGAGCTCATTTTATAAAACAGGATTTGTTTTAGAAAAGTGGTTCAGGCCTTAGCAAAATGGCCACACAGATTATGTTCATTGCCAATGGCAAGTTCCACCCCTTTCTGTGCCCCCTTCTCCCCAAAACTAGAGCCATGAAATACTTTATATCAAGGTATCAGGAACTAAATGTGGTCCTTGTTTCAAGATTATGTGTTTTACACAAAACAATGGTGAGCTTTCGATCATCAGTGGAAAAGATATTTTGGTTCTTTCCTTTGAAATTACATCACTGTAGATAACCAATGGTCCAGCTGAGAAAAATTCTTTCCTGGCTGCCAGAATCCTAGAGAATGTCCTAGGGAGGTAGTATGAGCTGAGTGGGAAAGCTCAATGTGATGGCATGAATTCTCATCCCACGAGGCTGTAAACCCTGTACACTGACAAACTTGTTTTTACATTTTCATCATGTCTAAGTGCCTTATTTTATTGCCTTTGGACATTCCTGCACTTATGAGATACAGAATGAGGGAGGATGGAGAGTGAGTCCAGATAACCACTGTGTTCTGCATCTGACCATCTATATATCTAGATACAGCTCGGTGATTCCAATAACTTCTGCTATTTTGTTATTTAAAAAATTTACACAGTAGGCAATCAATAAATGTCAGCTCTTGTTGCCCTTGTCTACTCTCATTGGTGGGTTTGCACACAGATGTTCAATGTCATTTGCTGTTACTTCTGTCTTATTGGTGTGGTTGTGCATACAGCGGGTGCAGAGCAGATACCAGTAAAGGTCAGCTGCTGTGGTTTGTGTATGGTCTCACGTTATGGCTGAGAATCATCCAGCAACTTGAGGGCAGTGAGGCATGAACACAGTTGCCCTTTCCATATGCAGCTCGTAAACTTGGCTATTGGTAAGTTTTGCTCTATGTACTGGCTTTTGCATTTTCAATTGTGAAACACCAGAGGGTCACTTCAGCCTGATACAGTCCACCTCTTCTGTGGCCGGCATGCCGCTGTTTCTGAGGACGAGTTCTGCACTGGACTTGCTGCCCTGGTGGGAAGGACGCCAGTGGAGCTCCATCATCTTCTTGAAGTACTTCATGGTGTTGTTCTTGACGATCACAAAGCACACGGTGTTGATCATGCTGTTGCTCATGGCGATGCACTCCACTATGTAGAAAGCCGTGAGGTAGTGCTTCTCCTTAACAAACACAGTGGGGAAAAAGTCGCGCACGATGGTGAAGCCGTAGAAGGGCGCCCAGCACAGCACGTAGGCCGTGAGGATGCACATGAGCACCAGAACCGTCTTCCGGCGACAGCGCAGCCGCTTCCGGATCTGCTCCGTCTGGAAACCAGGAACTTCCTTGAACCAGAGTTCCCGTGAGATCCTGGCGTAGCACAGGGTCATGGTGACCACCGGGCCCACAAACTCGATGCCGAAGATGAAGAGGAAATAGGACTTATAGTAGAGCTGTTGGTCCACTGGCCAGATCTGGCCGCAGAAGATCTTTTCCTGTTTTTTAACAATAAAGAGGACCGTTTCTGTTGCAAAGTAGGCAGATGGGATGGCGATAAGAATGGACACCATCCAGACCAAAGCGATCAGGAAGGAAGCCGTGAGATAATTCATCCGTGGTTTCAAGGGGTGAACGATAGCGAGATATCTGGTGGAGGAGGGAAGCCATCAATATAATCTGTGCTTGAGAACATTATTAATTTCTAACACCACAAGCACATGCAAAAGCAAAATGTCACAATGAGTCCCCATGTACCTATTAATCTAGCTTCAACAAGCTTCATCTTATTTTAGCAATATTATTTGGCATTTGGAGGAGTGGAATGGTTTAGAGGGAAATGGTATAGAACTTGTGTCAAACAAGTGGAATGAATCCCAGCTTTTCTCCTGATTGGCTTTGGGGTCCGGAATGAATCACTCAGTCTCACTGAGACATGTTTCCTCAACTGCAACATGGGATAAAATGACACCTACCTTGCAGGGCTTCTGTGAACACAAAATATGATAATGTTTGTAAAAGACTTGGCATGTGGTAGGTATTCAGTAAGTACATGTGGCCTATTATTTTTATAAGTCCAATGGATACCATCTTGGTTTTCAATCTTGCCATTTTAACCAAGAAAATAATACTCTGAAAATTTTTCATTATAAATATCTCATGGGTTAGAGATGAAAGAAGAGCAGTGGACCTCAGAGAGAGGTGGAGGCCTTTCTCAATGTAGTGGACTACGGCTCTCTCCCCCCACCCCCAACCATGGGTATCATTCTGCATTACATAGCAGCGGGGTAAGGGTAGGCTTGGGTTGGAATCTAAGGAATCTAATAAGAAGTAAATGATTTTCCCAAGCTCAGTTGGTGTAGGGACCAGAATCCAGGCTTCTGATACAAAGCTTTCACACCCATCTCCTTGGGCTTTCAGAAGCTCTGATGAGAAGGTGGGTAAAGTCACCTTGACACCATAAAGCAAGGTCCTGCAAGGTCTTTGTTACCAAGCATCTGCTTAGATGTGTTTCTTGAGGTTAACGCTCTCCTTCTAGCATCTCTATGACTTGAAATAATTTCTCTTCCAGGCCCTTGAACCTTGTTCTTTTTCTGGGTGTGGCATCCAGAAATGGCAGTAGGTAGCCCTTCTGATATTTATGCATAGTAGGACAGGCATATTTACCAAGGGGGTAAACTGAAATGCACAGGGAAACCTGTGCCTTTCCCACCCCGCCTGTGTCAGAGTTTGCAGGTTTATCTAATTCTGAGTATGCAGCGGTCCCCATGCCCACAGATAAAAGCCTCATTATTCAACACCAGCGTCACCACAACAAAGTGAGTTTGGCCATCCATCTTATTCTTTTGCCTTATTTTTAGTTGCTTTAAAACCTAAATGAAAAAGAGGGGTGCTATTTATTAGGCTCCTATATTGTAAGGCCTGCAATTCCATGAGTTACCTTGAAATCTTTGAGCCTCACAGTGCTCTAAAATCTTAGCCATAAGTTTCCTATTCTTCCCAGATACACCATTCCACCCAGGAAAAGGCTTTCTGCTCTGCTAGTTCCCCTATCAACTGAACCAGCTGTACCTCCAATCCCTAACCTAATTGGTTTCATCTCCCTTCCAGTTGACAAAATTGTTCAAACAAGCCAATCACATCCTCCTGTGGGAACCAAGCACCACCCCATCCTCTTGTCATTATAAAGCCTGCTGCCCACAGCCTCTGCTGCCTCATTCTATTCCTGAGAGCTTGGTGTGCAGTGTCCTCCTTTCCTGGGCTGTGATATATGAGACAAATTAACAGCTGTTGCTCTCATCTGCCCAGGGTCAGGTGTTGTGTGTTCAACCATCTTGTATTATTTAGAGTGGGAGAATCCTGCTTCATTAATGGGGTGAGTAGGAGGTGGTCAGGATAGCACATATGGATATCAACATCTTCTTCATGGAGCATTCCCAGACTATATCACTAATGTAATGATCACGCCTTCCTCCAAGTTACTCTTGCCTATCACTTGATTATTCTATTTTTTGTGGAAAGAAAACCTCCCTGAGGTCAAGGATTATATCTTCTACTACTTTATGCTTCCATTACATAGGTTGGGCACATACAGCAAGACCTGCAATCTGTTGTGGACTTACCAGTTTATAGCAGATGCTGTTGGTGCGCCTCACATGTCCCTTTGCTCTTGTATCACTTACATGCACAACTGTTTACTTTCACCTGCCAACTCCTGCATTTTTTTGTCTAAAGTTTTTCTCTGGCTTCCAGTCTTCTTGGCTACCTGCATGGAATTTTCCAAGCAGCCCTCACCAATGACTTGAGAGTTGGTGTATAAATACCCGAGCTTCCTTCCACCTGCCACTCCTGCGAGAATTCTGAGGTGATTTACACTGATTCCAAAAGTTGCTTAGCTGAAATAAGCATCAGGTGCCCACAGTGAAAACTTGTTCAATAACACAGACAATATTGACTGCTTTTCCTTGCCTGCCTCATTTTCCATGTCCCTATAGGTGCTTCCTGCATGCTACCTGCACATGAATCCTTGTCTCAGAGTCTATTTTGCGAGTACACTAAACTAAGACACAGGTATAAAGTTCTGTGCTGAGCACTGTAGAGACAGAAAGATAGGAGACATGGTTATTCCCTTAAAATACAATGTTCTTCGGAAAAGACATACAGATATGTATCTCCATACATGGTATGAGATTGCAAAGACAAGATGGCAACAGATTATAAAGACTCTGGAATGTTAGACTCAGGATTTAGCATGTATTCTGTTAGGCACTGAAATTTTTGGCAGTCTGTAAGCAATGAAGTATTTTAAGAAGAATCATCAATAATGATATTCTGATGCTTAAGGTGAATAAGCATGAATTTCAGGGGACAGTTAGGAGGAGGGTAAAGAGACATGTTAGAGGAGCATTATGATGGTCCAGCTGTGGCTTGCTAAGAGATGGGGTTGGAGGGACAGTTGCCAGGACTTGCTGTAGTGCTGCACAGAACGGGTGGGTGGTTGGGTGGGTGTGGGACACGAAGAAAGGCAAAGAGTGATGGTAATTTTTCCTGCTTGGGTGACTGGGAGAATGGTGGAGCTGCTGACTGGAGCAGAGCTGGGAAGCTGACTGGGGCAGAGCTGGTTTGAGATAAAAACTGAAACAAAACAAAAAACCACTCTTTGTGTTGTAACAGGATGGTTGCTTCCTAAGAAAATCCTGTTACATAAAAAACTATATTTTAAAGACAAAAAAGATTTCAGTGGGACAAATGAGGTGAGGACCATTATAACTGTCATTTCAATGAATATCAGAATCACAGAAAATTGGATAAAAATGCAGATTCGTGAGGCCTACCCCAGGAATTCCCATTCAGCAGGGCTGGGTGGGGCCCAGGAATCTGACTTTGTATCACTGTATTAAATGATAGCCCTGGGGGTTTTGCAGTTCATTGATGGGTACATTTCATAAACACTGGTTTCAGGACTGGAGAACCTCAGAGCTGCAATAACAAAATTGTTTTTCCTGCAGGAATTTTGTTAAAGAAAAGATGTCTCTTATGCATGCATAAGTTATAAAAAATAAACAGTAATCAACTGGTTTGATTAAAAGGACAACAAATCTAAATAGCACTGAGAACTAAAGAAAGACAAAAGGATTGAAAGGAGACAAAAGGGAAAAAGGATCATTGAAAAACACAGTATCAGACTTTCTGTCAAGATGGAGGTGTAGGTAGATACACTTTGCCTCCTCGCACAACCAAAAGAAAAACAAATTTAAAAACAAAAAATAACCATAACTGCCAGAAAATTGAACTGTATGGAAGTCTGACAACCAAGAAGCTAAAGAAGAAACATTCATCCGGACTGGTAGGAGGGGCAGAGACGGGCAGCTGGGGTGGAGATGACATATGGCAAGGCGGTGGTGGTGGACCAGGTGGTCCCACATTCACATGCAGATAAATCAGGAGGAACAGCTGGGCAGCGACACAGACTGAGCAATCCAGGGGTTCAGTGCGGTAGGGAAAAGAAAGGCTCAAAACCTCTGGAGGCAAAAACCTGTGGGGGTTGTGGCAGCAGGAGAAACTCCCAGTCTCACAGGAGAGTCTGGCGGAGAGGCCTACTGGGTCCTAGAATGTACACAAATTCACCTACCCAGGAATATGCACCAGAAGAGCCCAATTTGCTTGTGGGTAGTGGGGGAAGGAGAGTTACTGAAAGCCAGCGGGATCCTAGCAAGTGGCATTATTCCCTCCTGGACCACTCCCCCACATACAGCATCACAACACAGCGACCTGGGTTGCCCCACCCTGGCAAATACCTAAGGCTCCGCCACTCCCAACCTAACAGGCACTCTGAGACAAAGAAATATGGCCCAAATGAAAGAACAGATCAAAGCTCCAAAAATAGAACTAAGTGATGAACAGATAGCCAAACTATCAGATGGACAACTCAAAACACTGGTAATCTGGATATTCCTGAATTGGTTGAGTATGGTTGCAAAATGGAGTAATAAGTGAAGTCTATGCAAAGTGAAATAAAGAAAAATATACAGGGAACTAACAGTAAAAGGAAGAAAACCTGGACTCAAATAAAAGATTTGAAGCAGAAGGAAGAGAAACATTTAACCAGAACAGAATGAAGAAACAAGAATTCAAAAAAAAAAAAAAAGAGAGATTAGGAACCTCTGGGACAACTTTAAATGTTCCAACATCCTAATCATAGGGGTGCCAGAAGGAGAAGAGGAAGAGCAAGAAATTGAAAACTAATTTGAAAAAGTAATCAAGGAGAACTTCCCCAAGCTGGACAAAGAAACAGACTTCTAGGAGATCCAGGAAGCTCAGAGGGTCCCAAAGAAGTTGGACCCAAGGAAGCACACACCAAGGCACATCATAATTACATTGCCCAAGATTAAAGATAAGAAGAGAACCTTCAAAGCAACAAGAGAAAAGGAGACAGTCACTTACAAAGGAGTTCCCATAAGACTATCAGCTGATTTCTCAAAAGAAACCTTGCAGGCAAGAAGGGGCTGGAAAGAAGTATTCAAAGTCATGAAAGAAAAGGACCTACATCCAGCAAAGCTATCATTTGGAATGGAAGGGCAGATAAAGTGCTTCCCAGATAAGGTAAAGCTAAAGGAGTTCACCATCACCAAACCCTTATTATATGATATGTTCAAGGGACCTATCTAAGAAAAAGAAGATCAAAACTATAAACAGTAAAATGACAATAAACTCACAACTATCAACAACTGAACCTAAAAAAAAAAACCACCAAAAACAAAGTAAGCAAACAACTAGAACAGGAACAGAATCACAGAAATGGAGATTAGAGGGGAGGGGAAGAATGGAGAAAAAGATACAGGGAATAAGCAGCATAAATAGTAGGTACAAAATGGACAGGGGAGGTTAAGAATAGTATACAAAATGGAGAAGCCAAAGAACTTACACACACAACCCATGGACATGAACTAAGGTTGGGGAGGAGTGCTGGGGGAGGGCTGGTGCAGGGTGGAGAGGAATAAAAGGGAGAAAAAAAATGGGACAACTGTAATAGTATAATCAATAAAATGTATATAAAAATAAGTAAAAAACACATTATCAAAATGAGGCTCAGCACAGCTCACAATGGTGAACCAAGAGGATGTGACACCAATTGCTCCCCTCAAACAGAGGCATTGCTGGCCTACAACTCTTCACATAAATAAAATGTGTCAGGTTTATCATAAGATGCTACTAGAAATTTTACTTTATAAATCCATAACATAGGAAGGACTTCCAGAACATCTTATTCAAATATATGCAAATGAGCATATGGATGCATACAAAAAAGCAAAGGAAGCTTGTTCTTCCTTCTTTTCTGCAAACAAGCCCTGCTGTCTGATTTTAAACTCAGTTGTGCAACAAAGACACCAGAAACAAGAGTACCTCTTGTATGATTCCATTTTTATGAAGTTAAAGAACAGGCAAAACTGAACTATGATGATAGAAATCAGATCAGGGTTGTGTTTGATGGGAGGATTGTCAGGTAAGAGGCATGAGAAAGTTTTCTGGGTGATGAAAATGTTCTATATCTTGGTCTGGGTAGTGGTTACAGAAAAACTGGGTACATATTATCTGGACTGGAAGCTGCCCTGGTTAACTTTCATGTGGCTTCTAAGCAGTAAGCTGCCTAAACTTTCTGCTTTTGCTTTTGCAGTTGAGGCCACTGGTCATGTGACATGCCTATATCTGAAGCAGATGTGGTACCTGGGGGCATGGCCCAGAGCTGAAGGGCTCAGGAGCCTCACTCTTGCTCACATTTGGAAGAACATGAGCCACAACTAGAGAAACCAGGTCTCCTCTTGCCCTGTTTCAGATTCAGATCTGAAACAATGCCAACAGTCAGAGCTGAAGTGAGGAAAGGGGCAGCCTGGCCCAGCCTCCATCTTTACCCCTTCCCAACAGCCTCACCTGTCAATAGCAATGGCCAGCAGAGCATTGGTGGAGACGTAGAGTGACACAGTACGCAGGTAGTTGACAGAGGCACAGAGCACATGGCCGTGCTCCCAGGAGAGCTGGCGTACCACATAGTAGTCCATCTCGAAGGGGCAGCAGACAGTGGCCACCAGGAAGTCAGAGATGGCCAGGTTAGCAATGAGCAGATTGGTGAGGTTGCGCAGCTTTTTGTAGCGGGCGAGAGCAGCAATAAAGACAAAGTTGCCAATGCCGCAAACCAGCATGATGCCTGCTAGTGCCACACCGATGATGATCTTGGCTGCGAAGAAGGTTCGAGTCTTGGTCATGTCCTCATCCTCATCCAGAGGGAGGTCGTAATCACTATAACTGAAGTTGAAGGGGAAGGAGGAGGCATGATCTTGGGGTGCATTGAAGTTGGGTGCAGAACTAGTGTTTCCATTCTGGGTGGCCATGGTGAAGCTTGCAGGTGGAGTGGCGGGTAGAAATCTCAGGGTCTGAGTGCTCTGATCTGGGGGTCTAGACCTGCTCTCACGAGGTCAGTGAGCCCAGCACCCTGCCCACATCTTCGGGGAGAGTCAGCATGCCATCTTGAATCCTGGAAGGAGAGAAAACCAGTAGACAACATGCAGGAGAATACCCCCAGGTGTAGGCCAACTAGGCCTGGTATTTACCCAGATAGAGATAACCAGGGTACAGGGGAGAGGAGACACGAGATCTAGAAATTGGGAAATCCTCACCTGGCTCTTGGGTTACCAGTAGGGACTGGGCATAGGATGGACTGGACTCTTCAGAGACACTCAAGAAGAAAGGGTGTATTTGCCTTTTTACCAGGGGCAAGGACCTTTTGACTGTCTAGTCAGCACTCACCCCCTTCCCCAGCAGCCTTCACAGGGGTCTTCTGGAAGTTTTCCAAGGCTCCCGGCAGCTAGCCAGGCATTTATGGCAGTGAAAATGTTGCACCCTTCATTACCCAGGGACAAGGAGACAAAGGACCGGGATATAGCAAGGTCTTTCCTCCAAAGCAGGGCATGGCTCCCTTTGTCCTGGCCAAACCATGGACTTGCAAATCACCAAATCCATCTTCACATGGACAAGGTGAGTCATCTTGGGATAGTGAACTATGTTCTCTGCATCCCAATTTTCCTGTAAACCAAATTCTGCTGCCCAGCCCACGGCCTGGCACATAGTGGGGACTGGATAGGAATATATTGACTGAATGAATGAGGATCCCAACCAGGATTCCACAGGTGGAGGAGGCTGCGGGTTGAAGGGCATTCTGCTGCTACCCTGCACTCTGAGAACCAGCTTTAGAAAGAAATCCTTTGTCTGCTTCCCCTCCTTGCCTCCCTTGTCCCCTCTACTAGGCCCCCAGTTCCCTTTCCAGAATCAGCCCTGACTGGGAAGCACTATGACCTGTCACCAAGGTCTGTGTCCTCTGAAAGTGGAGGCCCTGAAAACAGCCCCGCAAAGAGCAGGAAGTGTCAGTGAGGACCCAGGAGGGCCTGTGGACTGAACTGTTCTCATTGCCTACGTCCTTCATATCTTCAAGATGCCCCCAGGAGAGGAAATAAAGCCTGCGCCCTCAGGAGACAGGGTGCCATTGGGTTCCAGGCGTTGGAGGGGTCGGGAAAATAACCCGGGCCCCCAGCACCAGGAATGGAAGTCCCAGTCATCCAGCGGTGAACCCCCTGCTCGCCTCTCCCTTGACACACTTGGGAATGACTCCAAATTGGGGACGTGGGACGCTGGTAGAAAGAAGTGTACCAAACTGGGCAGGAGGTATGGCCAGGCCCTGTGTGAGGAGGGGGAGAACCAGGGACAGGAACTGCCCCAGCAGGTGGGGACAGAGGGTGACAGGGACACTCCAAACTTGGGAGGTAAACCCTTCCGAAATGGGGGGGGTTCAAGTGTCAGCGGCGTTCGCAGCCCGGGCGTCCTCCCTCCGGGTTGCCTCTCGGACTCACGGGAGGCCCAATACCCGAAGGCAGTGCTCAGCTCACGACAGAGAAGCAGGAGTCCCGCCTTCCTGGCAGCTACGCTCCACGGCTCTCCAGTCCCAGGACTCCAGAGGAGGGGGCGTGCATCAGGCTGGGCAGATCCCAGCCCCATGTCTACAGGATGCACTCCCTGCCTTGACCAACTCGCTCCAGGTGCCCTCTCCCACCCTCCCCCGATTAACCACTCCTCGGGACCGCTTGGTCCCCAAAGGCTCCGCCCTGGCAGAAGCGAGAATCAAGTCAGAAATTCGGGCTCGAAAAGCAAAGTGTGCGGAGCCTCAGGGTGGGAAGAAATCTGAAGGTAGGGGTAGATACGGTGAGCGGGAATTTTCCCAGAAACGCTTCCCTTTTTCTGTTCTTTCAAGAAGGTGCATCCCTGCGCACGCCCTTCCCTGCAATTTGGCGCTTGCCCGCCAGCCCAACACCCGAGGGCATCCTTCACCCGCGCTCACACTCCCAAGTCCCAGCTTGCCACCGTCTGCCGGGTTTTAGCAGGTCGGTGGGTTGGGGGGCTCTTCCCGCACCAACTCCTCTACTTCGAGCCATCACGCGCGCATCCGGAGAGAGGTGGGAAGCAAAGCAGCCCCAATTCGCCCCCCCCCAGAAGAAGTGAGCATCTGCGCCCCCAACCCTGGAGACGCCTGCCACCCCATCGATGGAGCTTTAGACCGCTCCGACCTCAGCACTTATCTGCCTCGGCGCCTCCTCCCCACGTGCTCAGCGACCTGGTCCGCTCAGTTCCCGCCCGGGGGGCCCGGATTTGCACTTGCAAAGGTTCTGCGTTGGGGGTGTCCCTCTTTTTCCTTGCCCCAGCGCGCTTCCCGGGAGCGTCCCGGCCTCAGTCTTCCAGCTGGATTTGGCGCTCCGCCTTCAAAGCTCTGCAGGTCAGGTACCCAGACTGATGCGCCACGCCCCGCCCCCAGCTCCGCCCCGGGCTCCCCCGCCCTCTCCTAGCCGAAGCGGAACAAGGGCGCTGGGCTCCCGCCCTTGGTGCGCTCCTGGAGCCGGCGCCCGGAGCTATGGCCGCGTCGGCGGGGATTTACAGTCGGTGGGGTCGGCCCCTTGCAGAGGCTTCTGCGCCTTCGCACCCTAATGCCAGTGAGAACGCAGTAGCCGGGTTTAGCTCATGCGATTTGGAGAAACCTGTAAGGCTCTCGCGTCCCACTGCGGCGGGGTGTGGCCCGTGCAGGAGCTCAGCGTCCAGTCTTAAGCCGGAGCCCATGGCCAGAGTTCGTTCCCCCTAACAAGGTGAATCCTTTGGGAGGAGCCGGGGTGCATTCCATCGTGCCCGAGAGCTCGTGCTGGGGAGACTCCAAAGAGCGCAGAGTGAGCTTTGTGCGGGGGTGGTGGTGGAGGAGGAGGCTCTGTCGGAGGAAGCTGGGGGCCAGGGGTAGCGTGCCGTGCTCAAAGCTTTGGCCCTGAAGTCCTCACCAAAACCCTGCGGTGCCCACCGCTGCCGCATTCCTTGGCCATTCAAAGACCTTCCCCGCTGGGCTTCCGCCTGTCGGGAGATTCCGGAGCCCTTCACTTTGCTTCCAACAGGCTTTGGTTTTAGGCAACTTTCTTAACCTCTCTGGTCCTTGATTTCCTTACACATTGAGCGTGGGGATTAAAATCTATAAAGAGCTGCTCATTCTAATGACTGGTAACTGGAAAGAGCAGAGGTCCAGCCAATTATTGTCAGCTTGGAATGTGGACTCAGCTTTGTCAGATCTTCCCATTTTTCCAGGGAGTCTGGAATCTCAGAACTTAATACTCTGTGGGCTTAGTTAAAACAACAGCAAAACCTGTGCTGGCCAAAGACGGCATATCTCAGAATGAGCACAGTCTACTGGGACACCAACTTAAAATTCCTGAAATCCTTTGGGTGGTGACATTCTCTGATTTTTGCCTTTCCCACCTTGTGTGGAATGAACCACACCATCCTTCTCCCTTTAAAAAAATTTTTTCCCCAGCTTTATTGAGATATAATTGACATATAACATTATATAAATTTAAGGTATACAACTTGATAATTTGATACACATATACATTGTGAAATGATCACTACAATAAGGTCAGTCAACACATCCATCACCAAGCATAATTATGATTTTTCGTGTGTGGTGAGAACTTTTAAGATCTGATCACTTAGCAACTTTCAAGTATACAGTACAGTATTGTTAACTATATAGTCATGATGCTGTACATTAACTAGATCCCCAGAACGTATTCGTCTTGTGAATAAGGGAAGTTTGTGCCCTTTGACCAACACCTCTCCATTTCCTTCATACAACCCACCCCCACCTCCTGGCAACCACCATTCAACTTTGTGATTCTATGAGTTTGGCTTTTTTAAAGATCCCACATATAAGTGAGATCATACAGTATTTGTCTTTTTCTGTTTGACTTATTTCATCACCAAAATGCCCTCAAGTTCTGTCTATGTTGTCCCAAATGCAGGATATCCTTTTTATGGTTGGATAATATTCCACTATGTGTGTATATGACATTTTATGGCTGAAGTTATATGTGTGTGTATATATATGTATGTACACACACACAGATACCATTGCATAATATCCACACTTACGTTGTTTCCATGTCTTCGGTATTGTGAATAATGCTACAATAAACATGGAATGCAGATATGTCTTCAAGATACTGATTTTATTTCCTTTAGACACATACACACAAGTAGGATAGTATTTGTTTTTAATTTTTTGAGGAACCTCCATTCTGTTTCCATAGTGGGCACACCAATTTACCGTCCCATGCAATTGAGTTGTCTTTTCTCCAGATCCTCACCAATAGTTATTTTTACTTGTCTTTTTGATACCAGACATTCTGACAGGTGTGAGGTGATATCTCATTGTGGTTTTCATTTGCATTTCCCTGATGGTTTTTGGCCATTCCTATCGTCTTTGGGAAAAAATGTCTTTTCAGATCCTCTTTCTAAGTGAAAGGAGGCAATCTGAAAAGGCCACATACGGTATGATTCCAACTATATGACATTCTAGAAAAGACAAAACTATGGATACACTAGAAAGATTGGTGGTGGCCAGAGATTAGTGGGGCGGAAGAATAGGTGGAGCACAGAGGATTTTTAGAGCAGTGAAACTACTCTATGTGATGTGATTATGGTTGATACATGTCATTCATTACACATTTGTTCAAACCTATAGGATATACAACACCAAGAGTGAGTCCTAGTGTAAACTATGGACTTAGAGTGATAGCGATATATTAGTATGGGTTCATTAACTGTACAAATATACCACTCTGGTGAAGGATGTTGAAAATGGGGGGGGGGGCTATGTGTGTGTGTCGGGGGGATAGGGGACATTAGGAATCTCTATACCTTTCACTCAATTTTGCGGTGATCCTAAAACTGCTCTGAAAAATAAAGTCTATAAAAAATGGGTACAGATTTTCTGGAGCTTGATTTGTCAATACGTATGAAAAGCCTTGAAAGTTTACATTCTTTAATGCAGAATTTATATTTTTATCAGCTTATCCTATAAAAAATAATTGAAGCAGA